AACTACAGCCGCTTGCATTCATGAAGAGGGTGAACAACCATAAGGAATGAGAAAATGTGACCATGAGGATCCAGATGCAGAAGGCAGAGGATGGTGTCACCAACCACCCCACCCCACCCCCCGCATGTGGCTAACCCACTAGCTGGCCTCCAATACTTCGCTAGGTCACTGCCAAAGCACGTTTTTCCGTTAAGCGCTGGGTCTGTGACGCTGACAACAGAGTTAAGAGCCCACAGAGCGCAGTCAGATCAAAAGCAGCTGAGACCTCGCACACAAGCAGAAAAGCCATAATTGTGTTTGCTCTTTTGTACACCACTAAACTCCCCCTGCTGATTTATTTATTTTTACAAAGGGCGACTTGTGACATGAGAAAAAAGAGGTGCAATAGATCTTAGTTGTGTCCTTTTTATAAATATGATATATTGTTGGATGCGTGTAATTTAACACGGGAGCGCTGAAGTGTATCAGCTTGGTTTGTCAGTGGTTTCGTGGAGTGTTTTTCTGTAAGCGAGAAAAGTGTATTTTCAACATTCTCCCAGACTGTGGGTGGATGTAAGTGATGGGTTTATGGCTGGCTTTAGAAACATCAGTATAGCATGGCTGACATCTGTGTCCTCTTTATTTTTGGACCACTTGAAAAGCCCTCATAGTAGGATGATGGATGAAGTGATAAAGTTGGAGAGAAGACAAAATGAAAACAGAGGAGTCCATTTCTGGGAAGGGCTCCATAATCTCTAACTCACAGACAATTCAGGGAAAGCAGCAAGACAGATGTTTGTAATTTGTGGCTATGCTTAATGATTTTAATTCAAGAAACTATTTTAGTGTCTTTGAGGGCAAAGGAAAAGAGAGCAGAGATACTGACGTCTTCACAGGCAAGAAACTGATCACTAAAAAAAAAACATCCTTGGACAGCGGTTAACTCTAACCTCCCTCAAATCTGCCCCCTTTTTATTTGGCCTCACTTTGGTTTGATGATGGAGAGGTTAAAGACTTGTCATGTAATGAAGGAGCAGCTCCACAGTCTGTCATCATTAATCATGGGGCTGTCAGGCTGCACCCAGGACTCACTCAGACCAACCAGGCAGACAGCCCTCACCTCCAAGAACAACACCCACAAACTTTTTTTATATTACAGCAAAATATGTTTTCTCTGCACTCTGGGTTTAATTTAGAGGCTAAAATAAGGGTTGTGGCAACCAGGAGATTAGGGGAGCAGAGTTGTTATGTGAAGGATGAATCCTCCGGCCGACTGGGGAAATGCGGATGGGAAAAGTGAATGAGTAACCTCCGCCACCTCCCTTAACATCTGCTGAGTCGTGTTTGAGCAGGACGTTTGCCATAACATCCACATCGGATGTGCAAGAACTTTCTGAGGTGCTTAACTACAGTAACATAATGGAAACTGGTGGAGGACAACTGCATGTTGTTGGAGGAAAAAGATTAGAAACAAATGAGACAATAATTAATTACTGTAAAGAAATAAACCATAGACATTGGATACATAAACAACTAAGTTGTGTTGTGCAAAAATCATTTAAATGGGGAGGGGCCACCTCTGTGATACTCTGCTTTTAGCTACATGCTAATGCACACGGCGACCATGCTAGCATGTTGATGGTTAGCAAGTATAAGTTTTCACCATGCTCACCCTGTTACCATGTGCTAATTAGCACTAAACACAAAGTGTAGCTAAGGCGACGGGGGTTTATTGTAGGTAGCTCATAATAAACCATCCATTCATCATCTATGCTGCTTATTATTGAAAAGGGTCGCAGGGGGCTGGAGCCAATCCCAGCTGACATTGGGCAAGAGGCAGGGTCCACCCTGGACAGGGCGCCGGTCCATCACAGGGCTGACATGTAGACAAACAACCACACACATTCACACTCACTCCTACGGGCAATTTAGAGTCACCCATCAACCTAAGCTGCAAGTCTTTGGACTGTGGGAGGAAGCCGGAGCACCCAAAGAGAACCCACGCAGGCACAGGAAACCAGGAACCTTCTTGCAGTCAGGCAACAGCACTAACCACCCCCCACCCCCATAATGTGCTGCCCCCATAATAAACCAAAGAACAAATTAAAACTTTGACCTGATGATGGTGCTGGATGAAAAGTCAAGGGATCACCAGAAGTATCACATTATCCTGAGGGGGGGGGGACAAGGGTGTCAAGGTATTTAATCTGAACTGTAACATCAACCTAATGATTTCACCACAAGAAAAGTCAGTAGGAATCATCCACTGGGCTCAGTAAACATCTGCATAAAACTTAAATGACATCAGTTCAATAGTTGTTGAGATACTTCAGTCTGGGGCCAAAGTGGTGCACGGACCGAGATATCCACATTGCCATGCACTGAGTCACTGCAACAACATCTCAAAACAATATAAAACATTGTGTAGCACAAGTGAGGGTGAACAATTTCTTGTGCCATAAAAACATTAAATATTAAATGTACTTAAAACGGTGTAGTCCAGCTGAAAAGCTAATATTTAGCACAGTCCATTCATACATTATATCCACCAGGATGTGTAATTAGAGACGCCACAATTATGATAAAGAGAACAAAACAGTGCATCCTGTTCACTAATCATTCCAGCTACTCTCTACATTTGAACCACAAGCTACGAAGTGAATGGTTCTTACCAAGTGTCAGTGAATGAGCTAAACAGCCACAGGCACTAAACAAACTGTTGCACCAAACAAATATGAACTGGATCAGAATATTTTGCAGTCTGATCTTTATGTTGTACTTTGTATACTGCAGTGCAGGTGCATATACAACTTTAAACACTTTAACACTGAGGGAAGGATTAAATGAAGTATAAATCTGGGGCACTAAGGCATTTAAAGGCCTTCCCTGCTCCCTGCTCTGAAAGAAAAGATAACAACTACTCTCACCTCAGCAAAAACAAAAAATACAACACCCTCCCCTCTTTTCTGACCAAATTTCTGTAAGGTCCCTAAGTATTGCTTTCATTTACTTATCAGGGACAACACACATTATTTCAAGGTGTCAGATTTAGACAAAAGGTTCTTTTTCATCTGCAGTCCATGGCCAGGTTGAGATGAACAACACATGCAGCACCACAGCCAATAGGTGGCATCCCAGTCTAACACTGTGTGTCCCACCTTTGTTGACAGCTGACTGAAAATACTTGAAAAGCAAACGTGCACTGAAATCCAACAAACCACTAAATATCCTGTGAGATCACCTCCAAGACTGGTCGCGGCGGAGCGGAGTGAAACACTGCAGTATGAGCAGCCAACTCGTTTCTCAGACTTGATAAATTAAGTGTGTCTGTTTCCTGGGACATATCTAGTAACGTGAAACCCCCAGAGCAGGCCTACAGGATCTCATGCCTCTACAACATGTCAGACCACTGAAACAGGAGCGCTCTCTATTGTTACAGCAGGGACAGGCTGTTTTTGACCCCCGTGGGCCCCTTGTCAAAGTTGTGAGTGACCAGTGTGGGTCATCTAGACTTTGCCAGGGGTGTCACAGTGTCATGTTGCTAGGAAATTACATATTACCGCTGCCAATCACGAGGTCGCCGCGGTAACTTGAGCGACTGTCAGGACTTCATCTCGAACGCACAGGGGAAGTGTCTCAGATGATTATCGTGATCCTACAGTACGTATAAATTACATCCTGGCAGGTCTGACTTTTCCATACTGCCCCAGCGTCCACTGATATTTTTATAAAACACCTGACACTGAGTGCTGCTGCTTTAATGTGACACTGCGATCACTGCAGAAGAGAGGAATGTGGTCTGCTCACTGTCAACAGAGAAAAAAAATGAAAGCAAAGCAAACAGCCATCTAACATGCGAGTCACTGTAAAAATAACCTCTCGTCATTAGAGCCAGGACGATATTTCTACTGACACAAGCTTACCTCCTACCTTTTCCCCTTTCTTTCAACTGACACAACCAATGAGGACATTTCTCATGTTTAGCTTTTTTTTTTTTTTGCCAATATTCCTAACATGTCCTTTTTATTACTAGAAATTCTGAACTGTCACTTGTAAATACTATATCAGACTGTCAGGAGATCACTGTGCTGGCAAGTAAGAAGATTAAAGTGATGAACTGTGAGACCTGAACCTGAAATGATCCTCGTTACTGGACTATCAGACTAAACAAAAAAACAATTAACAACTATTAACAAATCATGATGAAATGGGAAAAAAAGAGAATATTTATTAATAAAGGCATTTGAAATAATATTTGTCACCTGGAAAAAGGAAAGAGACAAGTAACTGTTAATGTTTTGTTCATCTTATTATATATTCACTATTTATTCATTTTCTTATTTTAAATTTTTCTTTGCATTTTTTATCCTTCCCTCCTTTTTTGTTTTTGCCTCTTTTCTTGGTTACTTTTGCAAAACATAAAAGTAAAATCATGATTGCTGTTGGTACTATGGTAACTTTCAAAGTTGCAGAGAAACTAATAAAGATATAACGAATATCCACGTGATGACCACGTCTCCTGCCGTGTTTTTAGACACTTTCATAAACAGTGCGTACATTCAGTGCATACTGACACCTGCTGCTTCATCTACCTGAACAGTGAAGTATAAAACATATACATTCAGGCCGCTGGCCTGATGAAAACCAACAAAATCAGGAATGGAGACAACAGAAAATACGTCTTCAGTGTGATTTATTTAACAAAATATGACCTTGCCTTTCAATGGATACCGCCACAGGGTGCTCCAATTTTACAAAAAATATCACATCTCACTTTTATTGATCTGCTGTGAAAATAAAAAAGGGAAAAGCTGAGGAGTTCATAGAGAGAGAGATGTGATTTCAACATTCATTCTCGAAGTGTTAAGACGCGACATGTTCAACATCTGTTGTCTGGCTTCCCACATGTCTGCTCAGAGGACTGTGAAACAAGAATACATTTATATGGTGAACACGAAAGCCAGATTCCTGGTGTAAAATAAAAACAACTTATCA